GATAGTGGCGATGATGATGATGTCCTGCTTGCTACATGCTTGCATACAAAATGTTTGGAAACAACTTTTCTCGTCTGTAGTGTCTTTATTATGATACATCAGCAATGTCACAAAATAACAGCAATGACATTCTAAATAGTGCTGTCTGGTGCTAACGGATTGATCGTCGACTCTAACATCTCTATAGTTCCTACCTAATATGTCTCTGTTAACCATGGATCCATGTATCTTGTGTGTCGTCTCTGTAGCTCGATGTCTCGTTTCATGTCTGCTCTCCAGTGACTGTCTTTAAGGTTCCAAATGAACGGCTGCTCTGCTTCCAGTGTTGAGCTGGCATCAAGGATCATTGAGACTAGACGCTCGTCCTCTGAGTCTCAACGACTGAAGGCTTCTAGTATTGGGCTTACATCTCTACTACTGAAGGCTGCATTGAGAGCCCATGTGACTGGTCTCTCCTCTCTCTCGAGTCTTGTGGACTGAAGAATCTTTTTAAAGTGCTTTGTTGCTCGCTATTTATACTTGGATGCTGGAATGCTAGGTATTTGTTTTCGTTTCGCTTTGTCCGCTTCTAGAATATTCTAGTACGTCTAAACTTGTTTACTATGTACGTTCTCTCACATAGGATTTGCTAATTATATCTCGATTGCATCAGATTTCATCATCCTATTCTACGCAGATATAGTAGTTAAACTGACAATTGAGGTCATAGAAGCTTCTAGAAAAACAAGGACAATTGTGTTTGCTTTGATAGGGCACGTCAACAAGGTATTCACTAGTACGACAAGGTTGGGTCACATGATGAAAAGAATGCATTTCAAAACTTCTAGAAAGAAGGCCAAGGCCAGAAAACATCAGTTTGATGTCAATAGCTTGTTTTGGCGAGAAAAGAAGATTCTGAAAAAGAGAATGTCAAGGCTGCCAAAACTTGTTGATTTTCAGTTCACCATAACTCTGCGTAATAACCCACTTCCTACAAACAAGTAATGGCTTAACTGTGTTACACTGCGTTAACCATTGTACTGTGATACTGCGTTAACAATTGTACTGTGATACTGCGTTAACAATTGAACTATGATCCTGCCTTCACAATTGTACTGTGATTCTGCGTTAACAGTTGTACTGTGATCCTGCGTTAACAGTATTACTGTGATCCTGCGTTAACAGTTGCACTGTGATCCTGCGTTAACAATTGTACTGTGATCCAGCGTTAACAGTTGTACCTTGATCCTGCGTTAACAGTTGTACAGTGATCCTGCGTTCACAATTGTACTGTGGTCCTGCGTTAACAATCGTACTGTGATCCTGCGTTAACAGTTGTACCGTGATCCTGTGTTAACAATTGTACTGTGATCCTGTGTTAACAGCTGTACTCGGATCGTGCCGTCAAAAATTTTACTGTAGTCCATGTGTTCAAATTTTAATCACGATTTTTGCCTGGAAATGTTTTTTTTAGACTGATGTCCAAAAATTGTACTTTGTTCGTTTTTTCTTTCTTCTATAAATCGTACAGTGGTCGTCAGATGAAAATTGTTTTGTCGGTCTATGTTCAAAATTGTTCTGTTGGTCTATGTCCAAAAATCTTCTTTGATCTTTTCGCTAGAAATTGTATCCGGGCTCGATAATAGAAACTGCACTGCAGGCATGTTAAACATGTTGCTGTGGTACTGATGTCAGATTATGAATTTCAGCATTCAAGTAAAACTTTTTATTGTGGTCCTAATGTCAAATATTGTACTGTGGTCCTGCTGTAAAATATTGTACTGTGGTCCTAATGTCAAGTGTTGTACTGTGGTCCTGCTGTAAAATATTGTACTGTGGTCCTGATGTCAGAAAATGTATTGCATTATTCAAGTAAAACTTTTTAATGTGGTCCTAATGGAAAATATTGTATTGTGATCCTGATGTCAAATATTGTAATGTGGTCCTAATGTCAAATATTGTACTGCGGTCCTGATGTCAAATATTGTACTGTGGTCCTGATGTCAGAATATGTATTGTGATCCTGATGTCAAATATTGTACTGTGGTCCTGATGTCATATTATGTATTGCAGTTTTCAAGTGAAACTTTGTTCTGTGGTCCTGATGTCAAATATTGTACTGTGGTCCTGATGTCGAATATTGTACTGTGGTCCTGATGTCAGAATATGTATTGCAGTATTCAAGTAAAACCTTGTACTGTGGTCCTGACGTCAAAAATTGAACTGTGGTCCTAATGTCAAATTTTGTACTGTGGTCCTGATGGCAAATATTGTATTGTGATCCTGATGTCAAATATTGTACTGTGGTCCTGATGGCAAATATTGTACTGCGGTCTTGATGTCAGTATATTGTACTGTGGTCCTGGTGTGAGAATATTGTACTGTGGTCATGATGTCAAATATTGTACTGTGGTCCTGATGTCAAATATTGTACTGTGGTACTGATGTCAAATATTGTACTGTGGTCCTGATGTAAAATATTGTATTCTGATCCTGATGTCAAATATTGTACTGTGGTCCTGATGTCAGTATATTGTACTGTGGTCCTGATGTCAAATATTGTACTGTGGTCCTGATGTCAGAATATTGTACTGTGGTCCTGATGTCAGATATGGTACTGTGGTCCTCATGTCAAATATTGTACTGTGGTCCTGATGTCAGAATATTGTACTGTGGTCCTGATGTCAAATATTCTACTGTGGTCCTGAAGTCAGAACATCGTACTGGTGTTTTAAAGTCAAATATTGTACTGTGGTCCTGCTGTAAAATATTGTAGTGTGGTCCTGATGTCAGAAAATGTATTGCATTATTCAAGTAAAACTTTTTACTGTGGTCCTAATGGAAAATATTGTATTGTGGTCCTGATGTCAAATATTGTAATGTGGTCCTAATGTCAAATATTGTACTGCGGTCCTGATGTCAAATATTGTACTGTGGTCCTGATGTCAGAATATGTATTGTGATCCTGATGTCAAATATTGAAATGTGGTCCTGATGTAATATTATGTATTGCAGTATTCAAGTGAAACTTTGTTCTGTGGTCCTGATGTCAAATATTGTACTGTGGTCCTGATGTCGAATATTGTACTGTGGTCCTGATGTCAGAATATGTATTGCAGTATTCAAGTAAAACCTTGTACTGTGGTCCTGACGTCAAAAATTGTACTGTGGTCCTAATGTCAAATATTGTACTGTGGTCCTGATGGCAAATATTGTATTGTGATCCTGATGTCAACTATTGTACTGTGGTCCTGATGGCAAATATTGTACTGCGGTCATGATGTCAGTATATTGTACTGTGGTCCTTGTGTGAGAATATTGTACTGTGGTCATGATGTCAAATATTGTACTGTGGTCCTGATGTCAAATATTGTACTGTGGTCCTGATGTCAAATATTGTACTGTGGTCCTGATGTCAGATATGGTACTGTGGTCCTCATGTCAAATATTGTACTGTGGTCCTGATGTCAGAATATTGTACTGTGGTCCTGATGTCAAATATTCTACTGTGGTCCTGAAGTCAGAATATGGTACTGTGGTTTTAAAGTCAAATATTGTACTGTGGTCCTGATGTCAAATATTGTACTGTGGTCCTGATGTCAGAATATTGTATGGTGGTCCTGATGTCAAATATTGTACTGTGGTCCTGATGTCAGAATATTGTACCGTGGTCCTGATGTCAAATACTGTACTATGGTCCTAATGTCAGAATATGTATTGAAGTATTCCAGTAAAACTTTGTACTGTGGTCCTGATGTCAAATATTGTGCAGTGGTACTGATGTCAGAATACGTATTGTACGTGTTCCAGTTGTGACATCCCCTATATGTGTTCCAGCTGTGACATCCCCTACACGTGTTCCAATTATAACATGGTTTACGCGTGTTCCAGTTGTGACATCCCCTACACTTGTTGCATTTGTGACATCCCCTACACGTGTTACAGTTGTGACATCCACTACACTTGTTCCAGTTGTGACATTCCCTACACGTGTTCCAGTTGTGACAAACCTTCATGTGTTCTAGTTGTGACATCCCCTACATGTGTTCCAGTTGTGACATCCCCTACACACGTTCAGAATGGACCTAGCCCTCAGACATGTTTTAACTCAATTGTATCCAACGGTGATTTTCTTGCAGCCCAGCTCCATTTTTTTTTTTTTTCGAATGTATGACAAGCCCGACCACCCCACCCTCCTCCCCCAAATCCCCAGATATTAAACAAATGTAACTAAAAAGAAAACATAGGAAAATCAGAAGTACTCCTAAAATAAACATGGCAGTTGGGGGGGGGGGGGGGGGCATGCACATTAATCAAAGTGATAAATAGTAACAGAAATAATCAACAACACCCAGTAATTAAGTGTCCAAATAGCAATGTTATTGTTGACACTGTTTTGCCTTGATGATATCTGCTATTGCCGTTGAATAAGACACACCCGAGATGTCACGCTCGAAATAAAATGCAGAATGCTGTTGTGGTCAATGCAGAGGTCAACACTCTCATCTGCCATAACTGCGAAGTAGCAGATGATATACACAGACAGATCTGTTATACGACAACAAAGAAGTGCATGGGCATTCACAGCACACTCAGCTGGCAGAACAGTCAAAGAAGCCACGCCTTTTCCATGACAACAAGCAGCAGAATGATGAACGTGATGGCAGTGATACAAGCATTCATATAGAAGAACTCAAGCCTACACCCGAGCGCCGGTACTTAGCGATTCCATGTCGTCTTTATCTTCGTTTCGGGGCAGGCTGGTGTAGATGGAAACGAAAGGGCTGATAAGTTGGCTGGATCCGCAATCACTGTTGAAGTTCAGCCATGGATCATGCTGATATTATTAATGCCCTCAGAGAAATGGGAAGGATAGAGGACTTAAAGACAGCGATTCAAAATCGTTTACCAGAATCAGAAGTTGAGATCGGTATAGCTAAAAGTGAGAGAAACACAGGGCATTAAACACTTTTTTAATCACCATAGAATTGGCACGATACGACCTATATTTGACAGCTGTCTTATTTATGACGCTTGATCTTCTCAATAGCTTTCTTTAGCAGTGTCTTACCGTACTTACAAGATGGCTTGACTAGACCTTCTTGTGCCAGCGCTGGAGCTTTTTCTACGAACTTTTTCATGTCACGGTCATTGAAGAAGAAGGTATCTTTGACGATGTTGATCAGTTGGCCCTGGGAGTAGAGTTTGTAGGTAGGCAGGTTGGTGATACCCTCATTGAAGCACAACGATTCTTCGACAGAACAGTTGACGGCAGCAAAGGCGGCGTTTTCTCTGACGGTAGACTCTGCCGCCTAGATCAAAGTGTGTGGATAAAGTCAGATGGGTCAGTTATAAAGGCAGTACACAAGTGCTATACAAATACACAGACATAATTATAACTGGATGAATGCGAATATTGCACAAGACAGAGTTAAATAACAAATTATGATGATGACGACGATAATGGCAATGAAGAAAAAAAAGACCACAATGAAGATGTTGCTGATATTAGTGATCGCAGCGATGATGATGATAATGATGATAACGTGGTTGCTGTTGATGATAATGATGATTGTGATACAGATGCCGATGATTGAAATGATGAAGAAGATGGTGATGACATCAACGATGATGACGAGGACAAACAAAGATAATGAAGATGGTTAAAATGAAGAAGGTAAGGATCATCTACGTGGAAGATACAGTCGTGTTGATATTATCGTATTAAGCGTTCACATGCTCTAGTGGTCGGCACAAGAAATAAGCATCCCAGTTTCATATTCCCTAGCATCTGCATCCCAAACAAATCTCAAACACTAGCCAGTAGTACAAGGTGTGGTGGAGACTGAGTCCTACCCAGAGAAAGAAAGGGCCAGGGGTCGGTAAATGTGGGCGTCCTCGTCTCTTTAATCATTTTATTTCCCATTTTAGGTCCTGTTTGGTGATTCTCTCCTCATTTCTTTACAGGATGTGTTCCATGGAGCGACACCTGCTCTGTCTCATAACTGTCACTGCCCGAAGTTGCCCAAACATTTCTCTTAGTTCTTCATCCCATTTGTAATCATCTCATTTTATTTTCATAATTTTTCTCAGGCATTTGTTTTCTCAGGCATTTAACTTTCTTGTCACGTCTTCAGTGGTTCTGAGACTTTGGCGTGCAGGTGTGACAAGACAAATAACATATAGGTGCTGATTACAGTCTACACATGTGGCCTTGGAGTGGCAAGTCACAGTCTCTGTAGTTCTCTGTTAGTCACACCATCACATGGTGGCTCCGCGATAGCGTCTTAAACATCGGTAACTCTTACTTTCATGTGAAAGCATGGCCAACTGCTACTGATCCTCCACCCCCATCCCCTTTATATAATTGAGCACATGAGTACCAGGCTACAATACATTGCTGTAGCTGGTAGACTAGCAGGCTACAATACAGTGCTGTAACTGGTAGACTAGCAGGCTACAATACAGTGCTGTAACTGGTAGACTAGCAGGCTACAATACAGTGCTGTAACTGGTAAACTAGCAGGCTACAATACAGTGCTGTAGCTGGTACACTAGCAGGCTACAATACAGTGCTCTATCAGGTACACTAGCAGGCTACAATACAGTGCTGTAGCTGGTACACTAGCAGGCTACAATACAGTGCTGTAGCTGGTACAGTAGCAGGCTACAATACAGTGCTGTAGCTGGTACAGAAGCAGGCTACAATACAGTGCTGTAGCTGGTACACTAGCAGGCTATAATACAGTGCTGTAGCTGGTACAGAAGCAGGCTACAATACAGTGCTGTAGCTGGTACAGAAGCAGGCTACAATACAGTGCTGTAGCTGGTACAGAAGCAGGCTACAATACAGTGTTCTATCAGGTACACTAGCAGGCTACAATACAGTGCTCTATCAGGTACACTAGCAGGCTACAATACAGTGCTGTAGCTGGTACACTAGCCGGCTACAATACAGTGCTGTAGCTGGTACACTAGCAGGCTACAATACAGTGCTGTAGCTGGTACAGCAGGCTACAATACAGTGCTGTAGCTGCAGGCTACAATACAGTGCTGTAGCTGGTACACTAGCAGGCTACAATACAGTGCTGTAGCTGGTACACTAGCAGGCTACAATACAGTGCTGTAGCTGGTACACTAGCCGGCTACAATACAGTGCTGTAGCTGGTACACTAGCCGGGCTACAATACAGTGCTGTATCTGGTACACTAGCAGGCTACAATACAGTGCTGTAGCTGGTACACTAGCAGGCTACAATACAGTGCTGTAGCTGGTACAGAAGCAGGCTACAATGCTCTACAGTGCACTAGTACAATACAGTGCTACACTAGCAGGCTACAATACAGTGCTGTAGCTGGTACACTAGCAGGCTACAATACAGTGCTGTAGCTGGTACACTAGCAGGCTAGTGCTGTAGGCAGGTACACTAGGCACAATACAGTGCTGTAGCTGGTACACTAGCAGGCTACAATACAGTGCTGTAGCTGGTACACTAGCAGGCTACAATACAGTGCTGTAGCTGGTACACTAGCAGGCTACAATACAGTGCTGTAGCTGGTACACTAGCAGGCTACAATACAGTGCTAGTACACTAGCAGGCTACAATACAGTGCTGTAGCTGGTACACTAGCCGGCTACAATACAGTGCTGTAGCTGGTACACTAGCAGGCTACAATACAGTGCTGTAGCTGGTACACTAGCAGGCTACAATACAGTGCTGTAACTGGAACACTAGCAGGCTACAATACAGTGCTGTAGCTGGTACAGTAGCAGGCTACAATACAGTGCTGTAACTGGTACACTAGCAGGCTACAATACAGTGCTGTAACTGGTACACTAGCAGGCTACAATACAGTGCTGTAGCTGGTACACTAGCAGGCTACAATACAGTGCTGTAGCTGGTACACTAGCAGGCTACAATACAGTGCTGTAGCTGGTACACTAGCAGGCTACAATACAGTGCTGTAGCTGGTACACTAGCAGGCTACAATACAGTGCTGTAGCTGGTACACTAGCAGGCTACAATACAGTGCTGTAGCTGGTACACTAGCAGGCTACAATACAGTGCTGTAGCTGGTACACTAGCAGGCTACAATACAGTGCTGTAGCTGGTACACTAGCAGGCTACAATACAGTGCTATAGGTACACTAGCAGGTACAATAGCAGTGCTACAATACAGTGCTACAATACAGTGCTCTAACAGGTACACTAGCAGGCTACAATACAGTGCTCTATCTGGTACACTAGCAGGCTACAATACAGTGCTTTAGCTGGTACACTAGCAGGCTACAATACAGTGCTGTAACTGGAGTACACTAGCAGGCTACAATACAGTGCTTTAGCTGGTACACTAGCAGGCTACAATACAGTGCTCTATCAGGTACACTAGCAGGCTACAATACAGTGCTTTAGCTGGTACACTAGCAGGCTACACTACAGTGCTCTATCAGGTACACTAGCAGGCTACAATACAGTGCTTTAGCTGGTAGACTAGCAGGCTACAATACAGTGCTCTAGGGTACACTAGCAGGCTACAATACAGTGCTCTATCAGGTACACTAGCAGGCTATAATACAGTGCTCTATCAGGTACACTAGCAGGCTACAATACAGTGCTCTATCAGGTACACTAGCAGGCTACAATACAGTGCTTTAGCTGGTAGACTAGCAGGCTACAATACAGTGCTCTATAGGGTACACTAGCAGGCTACAATACAGTGCTCTATCAGGTAGACTAGCAGGCTACAATACAGTGCTCTATAGGGTACACTAGCAGGCTACAATACAGTGCTGTAACTGGTAAACTAGCAGGCTACAATACAGTGCTGTAGCTGGTACACTAGCAGGCTACAATACAGTGCTCTATCAGGTACACTAGCAGGCTACAATACAGTGCTGTAGCTGGTACACTAGCAGGCTACAATACAGTGCTGTAGCTGGTACAGTAGCAGGCTACAATACAGTGCTGTAGCTGGTACAGAAGCAGGCTACAATACAGTGCTGTAGCTGGTACACTAGCAGGCTATAATACAGTGCTGTAGCTGGTACAGAAGCAGGCTACAATACAGTGCTGTAGCTGGTACAGAAGCAGGCTACAATACAGTGCTGTAGCTGGTACAGAAGCAGGCTACAATACAGTGCTCTATCAGGTACACTAGCAGGCTACAATACAGTGCTGTAGCTGGTACACTAGCCGGCTACAATACAGTGCTGTAGCTGGTACACTAGCAGGCTACAATACAGTGCTGTAGCTGGTACAGAAGCAGGCTACAATACAGTGCTGTCGCTGGTACAGAAACAGGCTACAATACAGTGCTGTAGCTGGTACACTAGCAGGCTACAATACAGTGCTCTATCAGGTACACTAGCAGGCTACAATACAGTGCTGTAGCTGGTACACTAGCCGGCTACAATACAGTGCTGTAGCTGGTACACTAGCTGGCTACAATACAGTACTGTAGCTGGTACACTAGCAGGCTACAATACAGTGCTGTAACTGGAACACTAGCAGGCTACAATACAGTGCTGTAGCTGGTACACTAGCAGGCTACAATACAGTGCTGTAACTGGAACACTAGCAGGTACACAGTAGCAGGCTACAATACAGTGCTGTAGCTGGTACACTAGCAGACTACAATACAGTGCTGTAGCTGGTACACTAGCAGGCTACAATACAGTGCTGTAACTGAAACACTAGCAGGCTACAATACAGTGCTGTAGCTGGTACACTAGCCGGCTACAATACAGTGCTGTAGCTGGTACACTAGCAGGCTACAATACAGTGCTGTAGCTGGTACACTATCAGGCTACAATACAGTGCTGTAGCTGGAACACTAGCAGGCTACAATACAGTTCTCTATCAGGTACACTAGCAGGCTACAATACAGTGCTCTATCAAATACACTAGCAGGCTACAATACAGTGCTCTAACAGGTACACTAGCAGGCTACAATACAGTGCTCTATCAGGTACACTAGCAGGCTACAATACAGTGCTTTAGCTGGTAGACTAGCAGGCTACAATTCAGTGCTGTAACTGGAACACTAGCAGGCTACAATACAGTGCTTTAGCTGGTACACTAGCAGGCTACAATACAGTGCTCTATCAGGTACACTAGCAGGCTACAATACAGTGCTTTAGCTGGTACACTAGCAGTATACACTACAGTGCTCTATCAGGTACACTAGCAGGCTACAATACAGTGCTTTAGCTGGTAGACTAGCAGGCTACAATACAGTGCTTTAGCTGGTAGACTAGCAGGCTACAATACAGTGCTCTATCAGGTACACTAGCAGGCTATAATACAGTGCTCTATCAGGTACACTAGCAGGCTATAATACAGTGCTCTATCAGGTACACTAGCAGGCTACAATACAGTGCTTTAGCTGGTAGACTAGCAGGCTACAATACAGTGCTCTATAGGGTACACTAGCAGGCTACAATACAGTGCTCTATCAGGTAGACTAGCAGGCTACAATACAGTGCTCTATAGGGTACACTAGCAGGCTACAATACAGTGCTTTATCAGGTAGACTAGCAGGCTACAATACAGTGCTCTATCAGGTAGACTAGCAGGCTACAATACAGTGCTCTATATGGTACACTAGCAGGCTATAATACAGTGCTCTATCAGGTACACTAGCAGGCTACAATACAGTGCTCTATCAGGTACACTAGCAAGCTACAATACAGTGCTGTCGCCGGCACACTAACAGAACTATGTATGTGTACATCAGGGGGTCTCTGTGGCGAAGTGATGAAGCCGTTTGCCTTGCGCTATCAGTGTCGTGGGTTGCGTTTTATGGCGGCGGCGTTCAGTTCTCGAATCTAGCTCCTACAGAAATTCATGGGGTTTGTCACCGGAGCTACGGAGGTAGTGCTCTATTCGACGCTCTTGGCATGTTACTAGCCGTTCTGCAGAAAGAGATTGTGCAGCATGGGATACAACCCTTTACCTTTAACTTCATCTGATACATCTATGCAACCTCACTCACATTGAAAGTGGCTTTGGACGGCCACTGCGTTTCCCCTCCCGGACCCGCCCACAACCCAACCTTGAACGAATGATAGGCCATTTACCTTGACAAAGATTTTTTTGCCCTTGATACAGGACGACTTCGTCGGATTGTAGAACATCACCAAAGCGGCACCTTTGTCACCCAGGAAATCTCGGTAAGTGTTCGAGTCTAAACCGAACACGCGGCTGGAGACACAAAACGGGTCCCAGGGAGTTTGCGGCGTCTCTGCGATGGGGGACAACTCATGAAGTGGATCACTTCCTCTTGGTGATGTCTTCAAATGCAGTGAGGAATATCTCTTTTCTGATGGCGCCCCATGCCCAGCTGATAACGAAACGGAACTGCTCCTTCGTGACTGGGTGTCCCCAGGAATAGCCTGGTGTGCTAGTGTTGTGTCCACAACGGACCCTTGGCCAGGTCGCCGTTGCCGGGGGGGTTTTTTAGGTGCCAGAGAGGGTTTAGGCTTCTCTGACTCGTCTTTCTGTTTCATTTCTAGCTTGAGCTGTGGATTTAGACGATTTGGCATAACAATTCTGTTTAGATTTTCTTCGATAGGTAGCATTGGACTTTTCGCAGATCTGCTAGGTGCGAGTGTGAGATCATCTAGTCTTTGCTGCTGCTGTCGAAAACACCGGCACCTTCTCACTGACGTCTCTCTTGGATCTATGAATGTTGGCGTCATTGTACTAAATGGCATGGATCTACTCCTGATTTCTTCACGTATTGTTTCAACTTGGGCGGCAACTTCTTTTCTCTTCTCCACCTTTCTCGTGTTCACCTCCAGTCGTTCTTGTGGATCAAACCGCTTCTGGGTAACTACTCTTTCGAGAGTGGGAGTATACTGCTTGTGTCCCGGAGTGCCAGCAGATGAATATGGGCGGTCATAGCTGTCCGCCATAGTGCCGGAGTATTGGGTCAGTGTAGACGGGGTGTACACTGGAACAGGGTCGATGTGTTCACAGGGTTCGTGTGTTCACAGGGTCAGTTTGTTCACGCGGTAGATGTGTTCACAGGCTCGATGTGTTCACAGGGTCGATGTGCTCACAGCCTGATTACGCCAAAGATGATCCAAGCACGGATGTAGACAGTTTTCCCAGGACAATATGTCGACAGCAGCAAGAAACCAGTGTGCCAACACAAACGGTTGGCCGGCCAGGATGAAGATAGTGTGCTTCGGATGTGGTAGCTAGTCTGCTAACGGAGATGTTGTGGCAGCAGGGAAGTGGGCGGGTACTAGTTTCATCACTCACAGAGTTGATGCCAGGTTTATACAGGTTCGACTGCGTTTATTCTGGTATGTGGTACAGGGTCGCAGGCAAGACTCTGCGCCATGATCTTTTTGTGAGCATCGTCACTTAGCGCCGGAAATACATTCAGACCTGATGACGTAACTGCCTACAAGTCATCATCTTCATCAATTAGCACTTCTGAAGTTATGAATCATGGGCTGGAACTGTTTGTGGTCAGTTTTTGGTACGCAACAATGGCTATTATCATTTCGTGACAATGTATAAGTTCTATAATGCCATCAGTCAATTCTCTCCTAGGGCGACCTCTGTCTTCACTGAGATCTGTTTATCTGTAGCTCCTGCGTTGGTAGTTGAACTGGATGATGTTTACTAGATGACCAAATCATTTGATCTTCTGTTTCACCGTAAATTTGCTGCCTGGTGTGGCTCCTTCAGTCTGACTGATAATATCATTTCTGGTAACTCCCCTGATAACTCTCCTGGTAACTCATTCCCCTGGTAACTCCCATGGTAGCTCACTCTCCTGGTAACTCCCATGGTAAATCCCCTGGTTACTCCCCTGGTAACTCCCGTCTTAACTCCACTGGTAACTCCCCTGGTAATCACTCACTCTCCTGGTAACTCCCCTGGTAATCACTCACTTCCCTGGTAACTCCCCTGGTAATCACTCACTCCCCTGGTAACTCCCCTGGTAACTCCCCTGGTAACTCCCCTGGTAATCACTCACTCCCCTGGTAACTCCCGTCTTAACTCCCCTGGTAACTCCCCGGGTAACTCCCCTGGTAATCACTCACTCCCCTGGTAACTCCCGTCTTAACTCCCCTGGTAACTCCCCTGGTAACTCCCCTGGTAATCACTCACTCTCATGGTAACTCCCGTTTTAACTCCACTGGTAACTCCCATGGTAATCACTCACTCCCCTGGTAACTCCCCTGGTAACTTCCCTGGTAATCACTCACTCCACTGGTAACTCCCCTGGTAACTCCCCTGGTAACTCCCCTGGTAACTTCACTGGTAGCTCCGCTGGTAATCACTCACTCCCTGGTAACTCCCCTGGTAACTCCCCTGGTAATCACTCACTTCCCTGGTAACTCCCCTGGTAATCACACACATTCCTGGTAACTCCCCTGGTAATCACTCACTCCCCTGGTAACTCCTCTGGTAACTCCCGTCTTAACTCCACTGGTAACTCCCCTGGTAATCACCCACTCCCCTGGTAACTCCCCTGGTAACTCCCCTGGTAATCACTCACTCCCCTGGTAACTCCTCTGGTAACTCCACTGGTAACTCCCCTGGTAATCACTCACTCCCCTGGTAACTCCCATGGTAAATTCCCTGGTTACTCCCCTGGTAACTCCCGTCTTAACTCCACTGTTAACACCCCTGGTATTCACTCACTCCCCTGGTAACTCCCCTGGTAACTCCCCTGGTAATCACTCACTCCCCTGGTAACTCCCCTGGTAACTCCACTGGTAACTCCCCTGGTAATCACTCACTCCCCTGGTAACTCCCATGGTAACTCCCCTGGTAATCACACACATCCCTGGTAACTCCCCTGGTAATCACTCACTCCCCTGGCAACTCCCCTGGTAACTCCACTGGTAACTCCCTTGGTAATCACACACTCCCTTGGTAACTCCCCTGGTAATCACTCACTCCCCTGGTAACTCCACTGGTAACTCCCTTGGTAACTCCCCTGGTAATCACTCACTCCCCTGGTAACTCCCCTGGTAACTCCCCTGGTAATCACTCACTCCCCTGGTAACTCCCCTGGTAATCACTCACTCCCCTGGTAACTCCCCTGGCAACTCCACTGGTAACTCCCCTGGTAAATACTCACTCCCCTGGTAACTCCACTGGTAACTACCCTGGTAATCACTCACTCCCCTGGTAACTCCCATGTCAACTCCCCTGGTAACTCCCCTGGTAATCACTCACTCCCCTGGTAACTCCCCTGGTAACTTCCCTGGCAACACCCCTGGTGACTCCCCTGGCAACTCCCCTGGTGACTGTCGTGGTAACTCCTGGCAGCGATATTCTCCTTAAACCCCAGTGATCTATCTGCACCTCCGAACTGTTTGGTGGTGCTTCATTCAATGATATTTTGTTTGTGATATTCTATCTGTGATATTCTCTCTGTGATATTTTGTCTGTGTTATTCTGTCTGTGGTATTCTGTCTGTGATTGTCTTTGATATTCTGTCTGTGAAATTCTGTCTGTGTTCTATAGATTGATGTTCGGTGACATCACATATGATAGTTATTTGCATAAACGTTCTGGTGCTTTTATATATGACCGTACAGGGCAAGATGCCATTAGCAAAATCAGACGACGTAATACAAGAGCAGATCGCAGACGGCGGGAGAGATGGGCCCAGCCACCATGGTGGAATGAAGCAGTCAACATAGCGTGGCTAGAAAAAAGGAACGCTGTCAAGGCATGGCAAAAGGCAAGGAAAATTGATCCGTCACTTTCTGAACGCCTGATCAGTCTGAAAGATGAGGTCAACAAGCGGACA